TGTCACCAGTTTATTAAGTGGTTCTGGTTTCTTCCTCCATTTAGTTGAGATTTAAGGATAATCTGGTGATGCCCTGAGAACTTGTTGTAAACAGCGCCTCCCCGCTCAGGTGTGTTTAAAACGTGTCATTACACCTGTCAGCAGCAGGATCAGAAGAAGGATAGGGAGGATCACCCCTCTAAAAGACAAAATGCCTTGTCTAAAAACACTTACAACAAGTTGGATGTTTTAAGCAAAGTTATGAGCCAAGATGCTCACGTCTCATTGATGTTTATATGATGCTGCAGCAGCCTAGTTTGTTTTACACCGTTTCAAAGGCTCTTCCAGCCTTCTGGCCAGGTGCTCCATCATGCTGGAAAAACGCCACCGCTCATCACTAAAGTGTTGTTGGGTTTTAGGAGGAGTTCCTCGGGGAGCTTGTTTTAGTACCATTCATGGATGTTTTTAGGCTAAACTGTAAGCGAGAAGTCCCCCACATGAATGGTCTCAGGATGCTGTACTGTTTGCTGGACACAGGAATGAATTAAACACTTACCAGAAAATCAGAACAGAGATTTATTAGAGAAAACAATTTTCCTCCAGTCTTCAGTAGTCCAATCCCTGGACCTTTAGCAGAAAATCAATGTCCCTGACGGTCCTTTTGGAGACCAGTGGCTTCTTTGCTGCCCTTCTTAAGACCACGTCATCCAAAAGTCTCCCCCTCACTTTGCTGCAGATGCTCACACCTGGTGGAGCCCCAGTGCCACAGCTTCCTGGACTTGCTGGACTTTATTAAGCACCTTGAGGCATTCTTTATTGGCGATTAATCCAGTGTTTTATGTCAAAGAGGGACTTTTGATCTTATCACTCTTCAGAAACATTTTAGAGTTGATGCAAACCATCATCATAAAATCTCAGTCTGTAAAACGTGACTGTTAATATTTGGGTCAATCTCTTAACCTTTGACCTCGACTGCATTTATGATATATTTGTTATAAAGTGTTATCTTATATGATCGCACTGGTGTTAGCTGCTGCTACAGGTCGGACGTACTTTTTAACGTCCAGTCAGTCAGGATGATGTGGATCTTAAGGACTCGTTCTTTGGTTTCATGTAGGGCTGCCAACAATGATTATTTGAAAGTCAACTTATCACCTGGGGTCTCATTTATCAAACATTGCGTAGAATCCTTACTAAAACCGTACTTAAGCTCAGCAAAAAATATGTACTTACGCCAAGTAGGTTTGTGACCTATACAACATGGAGTACGCACAGCTGCACACAATCTCCACTTCATACATCGGAGACAAACGAGAATGTTTCTCAGCTGCATTTTAGTCACATCCCGCCCTCACCACACACCCACTTACTGCCATAAATAGTCAATGCAAAATGCCTTGTGGACCTCATGCGTATACATAAGCCGACTGTTGCAGCGCTCCGCCAATGACATGGCGACCGTAGATCAAGGCAGATCAGAGAAGCGCTATTTCACAAGCAGAAATTGAGGTACCTGTGGGTGAGGTGCAGAAATGAAAGGAAGTGCTTTTGCAAAACAAATAAGAGAAAATCCACAGAGTGGCACAGCGTTGCTGAAGCCGTCAATGCTGAGTTCTTCAGAGAGATCTGTGGCGGATATTAAAAAAAAAAGGTCCACTAGGGATTCGATCCCCAGACTCCCAGCTGAAAGCCACGCACACTAACCAGTCAGCCAAACGGAGACCTCCCCTTGTCCAAGTAGCCAGGGCACATGATCAATCGGATCACAGTGACAGGACACACACACTGTCACAGATACATGACATTCTGTCTCAATCTGTCCCCCTGCTGATATTCTGCATTCCGTATTCTGCGCATCAGGCTGGGTGTGTGTGTGTGTGTGTGTGTGTGTTTGAATGCGCGCGTGTGTGCGTGTGGGGAGTCTTGTTCTGTGTGAAAACGCAGCGGTACAAGTGATAATGCTGCAGGATTTCATAATTGTATCCTTCTCAGCAGCAGCACTGCAGGTGCTCTCCATGTCCAGCAAGCCTAGATAAATGAGGCCCCAGATATTTTGGTGATTAGTGGAATAATTGGATCATGCATAAAAAGTAGCTTATAGACTTGGCTTCCAGTAACTTCTAACTTGAAGTGTTATCTCTAAGTGTTAGTGTTGTCTAAAAATATAGACAGTTAAGATAATAACTCATTCAACTGCTTTAAATGAGCCTTGCAACTTGCAGTAAATAAGGAAAACAGGCTCTGGGCTTAAGAAAACAAAGGATGAATGCTGGTTGTTGGCATGGTAGCAAGGTCGTTCAATGAAGAGCAGCAATTTTTTAAACAAATTGAACAAATTGTAACATTACAGCAAACATGTGATGTGTGTTAAGCATAATAATGTCACTGTTAATGTTAAGGCAATCAGTACAAGTGAGTAGTTCACTGTTGATGTTAGCAGCTAACTAGCAAATTAGCCACAACATGCTTCCTTTTAAGAAGCTTGTGCATCACCGTCGTTCAGCCAAGGAAATTTGGCACATGCTTCCATTGAATTGATGTAAAATGCTCCCAGATCTTCAAGCTCTGACCCGAGGGCCGCTACTGCGTTTATGCATCAGGGGCAGGAAGGCAGACGACACAGCAGGAGGTACACTGGCAGTTCTGAGAGAAAAAGAAAAACAATACTAAAGGGATACTATGCAGCTACTTCATATTTTTAAATGGTTTTCTTGAGCAAGTGTGTGCTAAAATGACCCTTTACACAGGGTTACTGAAATGCCACCCAGCCCCTATCGCCCCCTGTGGACAGAATATTCCACTTGCAAATTGAGCCGACATACCTGGCGCTGCAGTCTGCTTCCAGCACGTTTTCTGCATGTTTTAGATCATGAACACAGCTGATTTGTTCAATTTAGTGCTGAATCCCTCGTAGGGTTGGGCATCGAGCATCGATTGGAACCGGTTCCAACTGTTCATTCATTTTTCCCGGAATCGTTCAAAGTTTTTTATTTCGATCCCTAGTTTTGATTCCTAGTATGCCGACCGGAAGAGGAATCCGTGGCCGATCTCCGTGACAAATAAACGTGATCTGCAAATTGTGATCAATGCTTTTCAAAGCTGATCAAACCAGCTGTCTGTGTGCAGCACCGAGTCCCCCCTCCCCCCACCCGGCGCGCAGCGGCCAAATATAAACAAACGCGTCTGCCGAACTTTTACTCCGTGACGTAAACTTTAGCTCCTGCAGCCAAAAATGCGGCGTATTTACTAGAAGCTTTAAAGAACAAACTGGACGGTGTGAGGTGAGTTTGTCTCACTGCAGAAATAAAAACACATGCGGAGCGTCAGCAGTCAGACGCAGCCGCTCACCAACACTCGTGTGTGTGTGTGTGTGTGTGTGTGTGTGTGTGTGTGTGTGTGTGTGTGTGTGTCAGCGACAGAAGGCAGAACAATAACCTGTAGAATAATTAAAGTCATCATGCTAGAGAAGCTTCTCTGTGGTGGACCGCACCAGCTTCTGCCACAATAAATAATAATATTAATAATAATAAATCACACACAAAGCTGCGTACATTTTAATTTCCTTTCTGAACTATTTCTTTTGAGAGTTTTAATGTTTAAAATCTGTTAAATCTGTTTCTCACCAGTATCTGCTAATGGTGGGCTCTAGTTTTGTTGCGCCGTTTATGTCAGCGGACACGGTAGGGTCGGGGAGGGGCATGACGCTTAGCCTGGAGGGTGGCCAAGCAAAGCCCGGTGGGCCGCCAGGCTTATAAAGCGCTGGGGGAAACCCTGGGGACATTTGGTTAGCTGTCTCACGTAAAGCATGTCACGTCTTGAAAGAATCAGAATCGGGAACTGATAGGAACCGGAATCATAACAAGGAATTGGAATCGGAATAGTTCAAAATCGAACAATGCCCAACCCTAGTAGACACTGAGGAAGGCTGGGAGACGTTTCAGCTGTTAAAGACCTTAAAAAGACGAACGCACAGCGAGAAGATGGATTTTGGTAGCACACTAGGGGTGCTAAAAGCAAGCCAAAACTGTCTAGTCCCCCTTTAATGATGACGTTGATTATTAAATTAGTCGTCGGCAATTTTGGTAGTCGTAACTAATGGCTAAATCTTGGCAGCACTAGTTTGGTGTGTTCCTGTCACCATGTTGTGTCTCATCATAGCTGCCTTTGATCTTTCCTTCTGTAATTAGCTCAGACTACTTAATTGGCTCTGGCCGATCAGCTAGTGATTTAAACCCATCTCAGATTAATACAGCCCATAAACTATTGACCTACATGAAGGTTGAGAAGTACTTCTCCTGACGTCCCACAATGCTCATGACTCTGACCTACATCAACATCTACCACTAGAGGAATATCTCTCCCGTGTCACAGCTAAACACGCTCTCATTTGATTTGTGTTGCTTTTAATGAAGTTTTCAGATTTCCTGAATAATTGTGGTGGAAGTGTGTGTGTATGTGTGTGTGTGTGTGTGTGTGTGTGTGTGTGTGTGTGTGTGTGTGTGTGTGTGTGTGTGTGTGTGTGTGTGTGTGTGTGTGTGTGTGTGTGTGTGTGTGTGTGTGTGTGTGTGTGTGTGTGTGTGTGTGTGTGTGTGTGTGTGTGTGTGTGTGTGTGTGTGTGTGTGTTGGGCTATGTTGTAAATAGCCTAGATGTAACATATAAATACTTGTGGCAGACACATGGATGCCGGTCATTCCTCTGCTAGAGCAGGGTACCGTCATGAGGCTGTGGTGACAAGTGAGAGATCATAAAGACGAGTGATTTCACCACCTCAGTGCGTCTGACTCTTTTTCTGTTTTGTTTCCTCTTCTCCTTCTTTTTACTGCTGTCACTTCTCCTTTTCTATCAGTCACCATCCTCCCTTTTCTCCTAAGCCCAAACCTCCTGCCTAGCGCAGTGGTGACTGGACCCTCCCTCCCTCCCTTGTAGACGTGACATGCCACTGCTTGACGAATGCAAACCAAATGAAAACGTTCACTGGGAGCGTGTTTTTGACCTCTTGCTTTTCTCTGTGACCTCTCAGAAGATGAAGACCCTGGCCCATAGACGACAGTCAGCTCCATCCCTGGTCATCAGCAAAGCACTAACCAGGTCGAGGAGTGCATCCAGGTATCAGCAAACACACCTGCTTCCAAATGTTTAGTCCTGGTTCAAACACTTTAGAACATGTGAATAATCTTCATGACACAGAGTCTCTGTACTTCTCCGCTTTGATTTTCCTTTTCTTAGCAGCACTTAGTAACAGTAAATGAAAAGTTACACGCCTCCTACTTTACTGATACTCTTTCAGCTTTTGGGAATTGTTAGCCATCTCTGACATGCAGCCTTGCAGGCTGCAGTTTCATGGATGCTTGTGTTTATTTTATGCAATTACACGTTTCTAAGAAAACACTGCAGGGGTTTTAAAAGCAAGGTGGTTAAAGATGTTGGATAAAATCAGCAGAGTGACACGAAGAACCTGGATCAGCAAAGGTCTGGGTTGGTAGATTCTCTAACAAAGATAAGTCCGCCATCCAGGTCTAATGATTGTTTAAATGTGCGATTGCCTTGGAAGGCTGGTCACTATGTTTAAAAGGCTTACAGAGCTATCGGTCTGTCATCAAGTCCACATCACTCCGACCTCTTCCTCTTCCTTAACCCGCGTCGGAAATAAGTTGTTACAAACCCTTTAGGCAAAGTGTTTATTTACTAGAGACTTGGCTTATCTTCCATTAGGAGTTCAACTCTTGTTAGGTTCTTCTTAAAGCCCTTCCAGGCTTTAAAATCTGAGCTTTAATTCCACCAAAGTAACAATTCAACATCTAAAGGACTTCACGGGCTGGAGATGGCAGCTTTTAGTGCTGACGGAGGGAAACCAGGACGTTCTGCAGCGTTCTGGAACCCTGGAAATCCAACATTTAGAACGATGCTGACGGGAACTCTGCTCTGTTAAATGGGTCAGGTCTCATGGGGTAGGGTGTGTGTGTGTGCGTGTGCGTGTGTGTAGGTTTGTTGGACAAGTCCTGTATTGTGTTTGGAGGAGGTAGCAGCGGAGACAGATAAACAGCCTGACAGAGGCAGGAGTGGATGTGGAGCCAGGACTTGACACTCTCATCTGTGACCTTTAACCCTTTGACATCCCATCGGGCGATGCGGGACTGGGTGTGTGAGGTGTTCATTAGTAACCAGACAAGTGTGTTTACAGGGGGCGCTTCCAGTGGAGAGGTGAAGTCGGATTTAGTTATTTTGGCAAATAAAAAATATATTTCCTGGATTCTGTGTTTTAAGGCATTGCCACGCTTTATTCACACCTGTTTAGATAATAGAAGATGGGACACGTGAAAACTGTGTGAAAGTCATGATGACAGATTAGACACAGAGAGACGTGTGGGTTAATTATAATTCATCCCAATTTTCAACAATAAAATCACAACTTGTTCTAAGCTGCTGCAGCCCTGGTGGATGTGAGCGCTCCCGTACATTTGCTTTTATTTAATTAGTGTTATGAATTAGCTGTTGTCAGGTTATTTTCAGACCATGTGCATGCTTTGGAAGCTGTTTTATAAAAGCCATAAAACCCCTGAAGCCATATTTCTGCAGCTAAAATGGATAAATCAGTAATTCCAGCAGATCAGGTCAGCGGCTCAGGAACGGTTGCATCACCAGTTTTTTATCCAAGTCAATCCCAGAGGGTCTGGAAGTAAAGCAGCAACAAGTGGTGAATTCGTTCTGTAATTGAGCAGCTTTTGGGGGTTTGAGGATTTGGTATTTGAAAATTGGCCGTTGGGTAATCTGAGATGGAGATTCAAGATTAGGATCACTGCAGATTAACTGGGTGGACTTGTGAAGTTCCAACCACAGATTAATATAAAATAACAAGCATCATACCTGAGACCACAGGCAAAATAAATGAAGAATGTGTGTGTTTGACACATGTAGGCATTTAGGAAAATATCAATTTGGCAATATATTGTGATTTTTTTCCAGCGATATTGTATCAATATTCAAAAGTCCTGTATCTAATTTTTGGACGAATTTACATGCAAACATTTGTGTGTTTTCTTTTCTTTTGGTGCAATTCAAAAGCTGCTAGGTGGCAGGAGTGTGCACTTGGTTTTGTTTCCGCCATTGAAATGTACAGCCATCTATTATGGTTCAGATACCTCATTTTAAACATGTTATATCTGTTTGGACTGTTTATTGAAATTTCCTACAATAAATTCAGTCAAAAATATCTGAGTGAATGTATCGCAATATATCGTGATATCTTGTATTGTCTCCCCTGTATCGTGATGCGTATTGTATCGCCGTAATTTCACCAATATACATCCCTAGACACACGTATTTGTTTGCATTTCCCATCAGGAAGAGATACTGAAGAGTCTGGACCTTAGCTTAGCCACTTACATTACCTCCGCACGCTGTTACACCTCATCCACAAGTGTAACCTCAGCCTTTGGGAAGGTTTCAACTGCACCATCAGTAAACGGGGAGATGAAACCTCTTTTTAGATTTGAATGAGCTACTTCTGTTTGTGCATTCTTAGTCGTATCTTATTAATATAATAAATGCATCAAATGGTTTAGCATCGATGAAATTCAGAGAATTGCCACCTGACATCTCAGTTCCTCAGAACTGTGCAGCAGTTTTTGTTGTTCCTTTATCCTGTTTTTTATTAGCGTGGAAGTGTTAAATTTCTGTCTAAAGTCACAGCTGTAGCAAGAAAATGTCGGTTTCTCTTTAGACTTTCAGCTCTGTAAAAGTCTAACTGACCAGAAAAATTAGTGCCCGTCTCAAATCATCACATTCAACCAGCGTTGGTTACTTTATTTGCTGCTTTTCATTCACAGTTGTTAATAAATCCATCTTCATCAGGTTAGCTTTGGTAGGACGTTCCTTCTTAAATGAAAGATTGTAGCTGCTGGAGTTGCTGCTGTTGCTCTGGGGAAGAGAAGCAGCCAGTGTGGATTTAGAAGATGCTACGGGGTGGCGCACGCTGTGTGACATGACGTTTTCTTTTATCTGTGCACGCGCACACACACACACACACACACACACACACACACACACACACACACACACACACACTAGTTGTGAATCACTGCCTGTCTGGATGACTGATGCAATCCTCCATATTGCAGAAATAGTCAAAAGTTGAATAGGTGTCAGAGGCGGAGACCAGCAGACCTCTGAGGAGGGTTTTTCTTTCCCAGAGGAACCGTGGAATGAAAACATTTTAAATAAAAGTTAATAACATATTTTTTATTAGAATTTGTAATCATCTTTCTTTTGTTTTATGATATTTGACTTAGTTTTTCTGAATTTAATTGATTTCTGTTTTAAGATCATTATGATTTTACGACTTTATGATTTGTTTAGTTTAGTTTTTGATCTACAGTATGTGAAGCACTTAGTGATAGGGATGCAACGATACCACTTTTTTCCGAACCGACACGATGCCGATACTTGGATCTGAATACTCGCCGATACCGATTACCGATACCTATACTTCTACCACACAGAAAAATGCAATGATTTGGAATACAGATTTTATTTTCTTCTCTGCTTTCAACAGGAAAAGACTGTGAGGTAGATAAAAAGTAAAATATATGAATGGAAATCATCACAAAACTAAAATATTATGTGAACAGAAATGACAAGTTACAGTGAAGCCATTTTCAAGCAACTGCATTGGTATCGGTTAACGTTTACCGGTACCGATACTGGTATTGGTATCGGCACCGGCACCAATACCGATACCAATACCAGTATTGTATCGGTATCTGCACTGATACAGATACCACAGTGTTTCCCCTAGGAATTTTTCCAGCTGTGGTGGTGGTGTTGTTGGCGGGGGGGGGGGGGGGGGGGGGGGGTGTTATGACACGTCTCACCTTTATGTTAATATTGTTTTATTTGATGCACTCCACTTTGAACTGCACCAATCCAGCGACTGCTGCATTGTAATAAATAGTATTAAAGGTGAGTACACCAATATTTGCACAATAATAATTTCTGTTTTAAACTCTCAGTGACACACTTTGCAGGGTGGATTTGGCATTTAATTTTTCTTGGCGTCTGGAAAAACATCTTCTTTTGCCCCCTTTATTTTGGTCCAAGATCATTACTGGGCTGGCCCTCTTAAACATGTACACCCCTGCTTAGTAGACTTAATGAAGTATTTTTAAGCCAGTATAAAAATGACTGAAACACAAATTTACATATTTGGCATTATTGACCAATATTTTTTATTTAATTTATTTGTTAAGAACATCAAGATGCATTACAGTGAACATTATAATAAGCTGGGCGGACACTGTGCGACTTTTTCACTCGTAACACAGCTTCAGCTCAAACTGTACGACTTCAGCGCAGGGTAGATCTCACGAGTCATGTGCTCACACTGTACGTCTGGTAGCAACACGTCGGACCTAAAATATGCTAAAAATAGCAGTTTTTACACAACACGTCAGACTTTTTTGTCTTGTTTTGCCTGTTGTCCTTCGGGAGAGCTGCAGCAGGACACACAGGGATTTATGGGGGTTGGATGAGGAAACGAAATAAAGAAAGTAAATCTGTGTTTTGTGATCAGTTTAATTTGACATGAACACGACAAACACACTTTCTTGACAATCATTGTGAGTTAAAAAAACGTGTAGAAATAAAACCGAACAACGTGTGTTATTGGGGAAATAGCGGGTGAGCGGAGTTGATGCAGGATTGCGAATGCGCCGTGAGCGGTTCTGGTACTTTTTGGGTCGCAGCTGCTCGCAGCGCCGCTTCAACCCTCATGAGGAACGAGATAAATATTAAACACTCCAGAAGTCCGTGCGAGCTCACGATTGCTGATCGGTAGCTGGTCACGTGGTGTTAATCGCCTCTCGTAACCCCCTGTACACTACACGACGCTCAGCGCAAAACTCGCCCCGATCTTGTGGATTCTCGCACGAGTGGAAAATCTGCTCAAAAAAGTGAAAAAGTCGCACAGTGTCCGCCCGGCTTACTGTCTGTGTGTGTGCGTTGATGCCTGGACCGAGCTGACTGAGCTCCCGGCTGCAGTTTTGCGTGTAGGGAGGGGCGGGCGCTCTATCTGACTGGCCAATCACAGAGCTTGAAGACAGTCAGTTATC